CAAAGTGGATTATTCTTTGGCGATCCCACCAGATTGAAAGAAGAACCTTTTGCCCATGAAGTTCCCTTCTCGGCTGTGGCTGGAGTCCTTCCCCTTTACCAAGCCACTGTCTACGACGCTTAACATTTCGATAAAAGATCCATTTTTCGTCGCCAGTCACAAGTCTATCCAAAAAATGGTGAAAAAAATGGCTAGAATGGAGAGAAGAGCAGATGTTTTCAGACAATTCATGAGGCACCCATTTGGCAAGTTTAGGAACTTTTCCAATTTGTTGAAGATGACGATGAACAGTTGTATGGTTTGAACTGAGAACCACTGCCAATTCCTCAACTGATAAAGCAGGATTTTCTTCAAGGGCTGCTTCAAGCAGCTTTTCATCAAACTCAACTGGACGTCCGGTTCGATCTTCATCTTCAAGGGTGAAATCTCCACCTCTGAATTTTGCAAACCATCTTCTGCAAGTTCTTTCATTCACACATCCTCTCCATAAATTGAGTGAATGTTTCTAGCCGCTTCGGCTGCTGAGTTTCCTTTCTTGAACTCATAAAGCATTATTTGCCTGAAATGATTCTTGGGTACTTCCATGTAAGCAGGATTTTAATCAAACAAAATTTAATTTTATTGTTCTCTTAAATCAAATTTGATCAGTTTAAATGCATCTAAACATAAAAATAATGTTCAGCTCCATTAGACAGTATAAAATACTCTTTAAATTTCGTTCATTTTAACAAAAGTTAAAATTCGGACAGAACTTATGGGATGACCTGATATATATATATATATATATATATATATATATATATATATATATATATATATATGTGTGTGTGTGTGTGTGTGTGTGTGTGTGTGTGTGTGTGTGTGTGTGTGTGTGTAATATTCAGCCAGTACAATATCCAAGAGACTCTCAAGGTAGAGGCTAATTTTGTGCGTTATACATTCCTTATGCATTTTGTTGAAAATGGTCACAAACTGACTTATACCTTCCAATTGATTAAGATACAATGGTTCACAGTATCTGTATGTAAAATAAAATAATATTTATTTTGAATCTATGTAATGTGCCAGTATATAACCTCTACGTATCTAAAAGTGTATTAAATTAACATAATCAAATTAAGGTGCGCTTTCAGTGTGCTAATTTAAAAGTGTGTAACAATAAAAAGCCAAGATGATTTGCACCTGATATTTTGTGGTCTGCATTCGTGCTCCTCATAAGATATGTCAATTCACTGGTACCAAAAACGGTGCATTGTGGTTAGAGATATGAAATTAAATTATATCTGCGATTGTAATACTAATATTAGCCGTTTCCTAAAAAGGACACATTCAATATTCATTGGCCAAGCAGCCAGTACTGTTTTTAGTTGAAATTTATAAAATCTTTCACATAAAATAAGTTTTCAGGAAAATAGGCTTCTCAAAGAAGTTGTTAACGTTTATCCCAATATTGATGGTGGTTTCCTTCCTAAGTTTTTGTTTGAAGTAGTGCGGAATGTCAACATCTTGAGTTACATGTACTATCCATGTTAATTGTTAATAGTATTGGAAGTTCTCAAGTGGTACTAATTTAAAGAATGGAAAACAAAATGAAAATCTGGGTGATTTGCTACTTAAATGATAATAGATGAACGTTCTCGAAATATTTCAGGTAAGGTAACTATTAAATATTCCCTTTCTGTTTATTTATATTGTACTTGAATAACATATATGTTGCCAAAACGTTGCACATAATATATAGAAAATAACATAATCTTGCGTGACAATCTTTTTTTCGATATCTGTCTATATCTCTGAGATGAGGTATAATGATTACTTACATTATTTACATTATTTGGACTGTTATCCTCAACTTCATTGCCATATTCACAACGTTTCGGCCGTTGCCCGCACCGGTTTTTTTTTTTTCAGGTGATTGGAATTTCGAACCGAATCCTCTATTTCGTCCACAGGGGGTAGATTGTTCTAGTTCCACGTGCCATGCCTCCACCGGACGTCTCAGTTATTTCCCTTAAACTTAACTCTCCAAGTTTGGTTCACCAGTGCTCTGGCCTGGTATTGAACTCACAACTCTTTGGGTCTAGTCACTGGCTCAATGAATAAACACGTCGGTTAGAGCCAGTGACAAGACCCAAAGAATTCACTACCAGGCCACATAATATGCACTCACTAATATAAATAAATAAAAAAAATAAAATAAAAAAAATAAAAAAATTCAGGCTGATTTGCAATTGAATATTGCTGAACTGGTGAAAACAATTTTTTCGAGGGAGATAACTAATGAATGAGTCTACCATCCTTATTGGATTTATTCAGCCGATTACAAAATCCCACCACGCCAAAAAAAAAAAAAAATTAAAAAAAAAGGAAAAGAAAAAAGAAATAAAAAAATAAAGAAAGCGCTATAATGTCAGAGCTCATAAAAATTTAAACTTGCACTGACTTCTTTTGCTTCATTATGTAACGATTTGCATGCGACGCAACATTCATTTCCGGTTGTACAGACATAACAATAACATTCAAAACCCCTACAGGACAATGCTTATCGAATTTAATAAATAAACAGTTCTTTTTAAAGCCTAAATTTTACTCACTTATCAAGAATAATTAATAGGCACTAACAGTTAATTCCTCATTTAAATACGAATAAAAACCAGGCTAGAAAATTCTTCCTTCTAGCGCATAATACACAGAAAATAGGGAGCGAATTCAACGATGATCGTTTTCTAGCATCATAATTATGTCTCCAAGAGTAGCCGAAAAAGGCAACAAATAGAATTAATATTTATAATTCATATTTTCCATATTGGTATTTCCTAAAAAACAATATTATTAAAATAATTTCAAATGTTACCTCAGGATTAAATTAACATTTTACTAAAATTGTTAAGACAGTGTTAGCAGTATTCAAACTGTGGTATTCAGTATTTCAAAATACTTTTGTTTTCTCACAAGTAAAATTTAGGGAAGTGCCTTAGTTGTCTAACAACTAAAGTTTGGGAAATTATTTTAGTTGTCTAACAACTGAAAGTTAGGAAATTATTTTAGTTGTCTAACAACTAAAATTTAGGAAATTGTTTTAGTTGTCTAACAACTGAAATTTAGGAAATTATTTTAGTTGACTAACAACTAAAATTTTGGAAATTATTTTAGTTGCCTAACAACTGAAATTTAGGAAATTATTTTAGTTGTGCAACAACTAAAGGACAATTTGCTTTTTAAGCGCCGCGTTAAATATGTAATAAAAATTTGCCGAATAGTTATATTTAGGTGTAAATGTATATGCTTAATTCGAAAATAACAAAGAAATTTTGATAAAATCTAGCATTTGGAGTTATCGACAAGAAAAGTCTGGACTCATTCGTGTTACGGCACGGAAGCCATTACCGGCGTTGTTTGCATATATTTGTTGCGGAACAATCTTGATTATTGCGCACGCAATGAGTCCTGAGTTGTGCACTAATTGAATGAAGAACCGTAAAAAGGCCGTTAAGAATGTAATTTTCCGCGCAAAAATTATCAGCAGCGAATGTATGCAAACAACGCCAGAAATTACTGCCGTGTCGTAACGCGAATGAGTCCGAACTTTTATTGTCGATTACTCATAAACGGTAGATTTTATAAAAATTTCTTTGCTGTTTTCGAATCAAGCGTGTAAATTTACACCTAAATATAAATATTCGGCAAATTTTTATTACATATTTAGCGCGGGGCTTAAAAAGCAAATTGCCACAACTAAAATTTAGGAACATTTTAGTTGGGTAACAACTGCAATTTAAGAAGTTATTTTATCACGTCAGATTAACTTGTTTTCCTTTTTCAGTTAATGCGTGACGAAAAGCATTAAATGAAAATCTCAAATAAAATTTGATTGCAGCAACTTTTATTTAATTTTATTGACAAGAAAAAAATGAAGTACATGGAAGGCGTACAAAGAAAAATAAATAAAAAATATATAAAGATAATAATAATAATTAATATTATTAATATTTTATAATAATTTGTCACATTAATTACTATTATTTGTTGTGATATTTTTCCGTTTAGTAAACAACTACATGTATTAATTTTGTAACGAATAATTAACAACAAAATGTTTCTACCTGACGGTGAAAAATTGAAAAAATATTAATGGGAAGGGGAAGGGCGGATAGAAATAGCATCCGCTCTGGTGCAGAGTTTATTGAAAGGAAAATCATGAACCCAAAAAGTACATTAAATATAATTTTTTTTTTTTTACATAATAGGAATTAAAATATTTTTTTAAACTAGACGATGCTACTGTAAGAACAAAAATCGCTATAAAACAGCAATAATAATAAATATAATAATAACAGTGATAGTTAAAAAAATAATAGTTATTTATAACAGTTGTGAATAAGAATATTTTGGGCATCAGATTACTAATATCAGATAGTCGTTAGTCGTGATGATATTAGTATAATGAACAATATAATAAAAATATAGAAATAACAACTGTGGAGTTGCAAGTGTTAATATTAGTAACATCTGTTAATAAATTTTACTATTTTTAATCAAATAAATAAAAATACCTGTAGTCCTTAATTAAATTTATTAATCACAGTAATACGTTTTTACTTTAGTACATTTATAATTATTTTGTACTAAATTATATTTCTTTCATATTTATTTTTTATTCTTTTTACATCGAATAATCGAAAAATATAGGAACTATCCATTTTTTTATGGTCATTGAATGTTTGTAACTGAACAACAAAGATTTAACTAGGCAATTAAAAAATACTATATATGTATAATAGTAATTATTAAGTATTTTGCATTTTTAAGTAACAAAAAATATTTTAAAATCATTCAAAGTCCAGAAGAATTCAGATATGCAAAAATCTTGTTTAGTTTTATGAACTAAAATTTTAAATATATTTATACCTGTTGTGTTAAGTTGTAAATTTCTTTGATAACATGACAAAATTGTGTGCAACTGTGGTTTACATGCGCGGTGTGTTTGTTTGATATAACTTTTAAATGGAGTCATGCCGCCTAAATATACAAGATAGATAGATAGATATGAATAGACTGAGATAGATAGATAGATAGATAGATAGATAGATAGATAGATAGATGTTAATTGTAATTGTAATATTAACTGTTTCTTTATAAGGAGACATTCGTTATTCTTTGACCATGAAGTCAGCGTAACCGCCATTTTAATTTTATAAAATATTTCTATTAAAACAATTTGTCAGGAAAATAGGTTTTTATTCCAGTAGCTTTTATTGCTCTTTCCTGTATTGATGGCGTTTCTTTCCTAACTTTTTGTTTGAAGTAGTGTAGAACGTCAACATTCTGATTATATTTTATCTTAGAATAAATAACCTGCAGATACAAGAAATTTCCACTAAACTATTAAATGGGTGTATTTCAGCGGCAAATCTAACATCATTTGAACGAAATTAAAATATTTGAGTGAACTAAGGAGGAAGGAAGGAAGAGAGGAAAGGAAGGAAGGAAGGAAGGTAGAAAGAAAGAAAGAAAGAAAGTAGGAAGGTAGGAAGGAAACGTGTCATAAAGACGCGAGATTTAATGAAAAGAGAAAATTATATTTTCTATTTGTTGTATTAAATGTAGACTTGAACTTATGTACGATAGCGTAGACATTTATGCTCACTAATAATTAGATAGCGTTTATGAATGTTTTAATATTATGCTGTTAGTGTTATGAAATAAAAATAAAAATATCTACCAAATAAATAAATCCTGAACGTTTACATTTTTCTTCAGTAGCAACCAAGATAAATAAATAAACAAACAAAAGTGATTAACTTTTTTTTTCAAAGCTTGCGAATGTACTTTTTGGGTTCCAACGAAGGATGTTTACAGAGATGTGAAAATAAACTTCGAAGATTTGGTAAATCTCAGTTCAATGAAAACCAATTCTTTATATTATAATTGTCGGGAGTTTGCGTGGTACTTTCTGTGTATATATGTATGCAGTTTATTACACATATATATTATATATATATATATATATATATATATATATATATATATATATATATATATACTAAGTACATGCATACATACACTTGTGGGTATAAACATAGCTATGCATACATGCATATATACATACATAAGTGTGAATAATACGCCCAATTCACATGTGCATATGAAATTGTGAACGCGTTATGTAAATGTGTGTGTGTGTGTGTGTGTGTGTGTGTGTGTGTGTGTGTGTGTGTGTGTGTGTGTGTGTGTGTGTGTGTGTGTGTGTGTGTGTGTATGCACGTGTGTGTTGGTTTGTATATGCAAGTACGTGCACTTCCAGGTATATGTCTGCGGCTATATGTGCATATACATGTGTTTCTGAATCAAACATAATGGGTCTATACTACCTATTATAAATTTACTTCAAAAACAAATTTGAAAAACTGTTTACTTTGATAACTTTCACCGAAAATCTGGCGCCATCAGAAAAAGAATTTGATATGCAAGTCTTTTTCTGATAACGCCAGGTAATCGGTGACATATATCAAAGGAATTTACCTTTATTTTGATTACCTTATATCTATCATTCATTCCAACTTTAATAACATCACATATATATATTATATATATATATATATATATATATATATATATATATATATATATATATATATGAACGTGTATATATATGTATAGAGAAGTAGCGTAATCGTAAGTAAGATTAAAACATACTTATGTGTGAATGTACATGAAAGTATTTGTACTATTGGTAATTTTAAAGAGTGTGATTGCTTGTATGTGAAATGTATGTATATATGCATGCACGTAGATATTTATATCCTGGGGGATTTGGGATTTTACTGACTATTCACTGACTACGATAGGAAAGTTTTAAAATACTTAGCTCTTTACCAGCTTATATTCCTAATAGATGATTCTAAACTCAACCATTTTAAAATCTTCTTATCCTTCTTCTGATAGATAAATGGATGGATAGATAAAGAAGAGGAGATAAAAAGAGAGAGAGAGAGTGAGAGAGAAAGAGAGAGAGGGGAACAGACTGAAATAGATAGATAGATAGATAGATAGATAGATAGATAGATAGATAGATAGATAGATAGATAGATGGCAAAATAGTTCTATGTATGTATGAATGCATATCAACCAGCTTAGAGATAAATTTTATTTGTATTAATCCGATATATATATATATATATATATATGCATAATTTTATTTTAGAAATCTGTCAGATAATCAAAATTACTAAAAACAACTACATTTTTGGCTTCATTAAACTGAGGTTCACTAAACATTCGGCAAGTGTAATGACTATATATATATATATATATATATATATATATATATATATAACAATACGAGGAAAAGCTGGGGTTTGGCAAATTAATAGTAACATAAGAAATTATTATAGCATCAACTCAAAACCTAGTGGTAAGTGAAACAGCACGTGACTTGATTATTTTGCAGTTTTAAAATTCGTTTTAAATTCATATTTGAAAACTACAACGAAAACCATAGATAGATAGATAGATAGATAGATAGATAGATAGATAATGAACAGAATGATAGATAGATAGATAGATAGATAGATAGATAGATAGATAGATAGATAGATAGATAATTTTGTCACCGTTTTACAACTAATTAATAGTATGAGCTAATACAACATTGTGTTTAAAACTTTTTAGTTTTTATTAACATAAGTGTTGGAATGAATTTATTCTTCCTAATATCTTTTTTATAGAGAATCTTTTCATGAATGTGTGTAACGTTTACGTTAAAACTCGAATCTTGAAATGTAAAATGACCAGAAGATTAGATTTTAGAAAATAAATATTTATAGAGAAATTATTACATGCTTTCATAAAGAAAGAAAGAAAGAAAGAAGGAAAGAAAACTGAAAGCGTTCTTGGGGATAATAATTTAAGCAAACAAGGTTTTTGGAATATATAAGTGGAAAATATAGATTTTTATAATCTTTTTGGTCTTATTCATGTTAATTATTTTCTTATCAATCGATTGGTCAGACTAAATTAGTCACTTTTGTACACATATATACATACATGCATAAAGTGTTTTTAATATGTTTTATTAATGTACCTTGGCATACTCAGATAAAGATAAATGTTGTTTTTTTATATGATTTATTACAAGGACAATAACAAAGATTGTATTTTGCCAACAACCAGTCGACCAGTGTAATTCTGGAAGATAACGTTTTTAAAGCAAGTTGTCTTTGTCATTATATAATAATAATAAATAAAATTTTGTTCGATTATCTTATCCATGTCTCTATTCCTAGTTTCACATAATTACGTTCAATCTTCAGGAGTAACAAATTTAAGATGTAAATAGGTATGCCTATTTTTAGAGCCTTAATATATTACTGTATTCCAGTGACTTTATTTTATGTTTAGTGTATGTGTGCTTTTTATGCGGGTGTAAAGAACATTTGGAGTTTCTCAGAAATATATCAAGTTGTTTTTTTTTTTTTTTTTTGTTTTTTTCCAACTGATATTTTCATGTATGTACATGTTTACGTATATTAGGTCCGAAACGTTATCATTCAACACATACGTATGTTATATGTGTACGCATTCGCGCATACATACATACTCTCTTTTTTACGCTAGCATAATTCACTCATATCACGTAAAGTGCTCTTTGACATAACAACTTACTGATTCATTGCTTCTCTTCTATAGTGTCGACAATTATTACTTTTTTATAAATACATATATATGTGTGTGTGTGTGAGTTTATATATATATATATAAACTCACACACACACATATATATAGTACATTACGTAAAATTATATAATTTGACGTATATCAAATTTAATATAATTTCTACTAATTAAGTGCTCAATGTTTGACTAGAGCGATAATTATTATTATTAAGTTAGAAGTAAAAACGTTCAGTACTTATTGCAACTCAACTCAGGGTTTCGTAATTTTTCAATCACTCGTCGGGATTGTATACAAGAATGATTGTATTGCTAACTACATTCTTGTTCAAAGTCAGGATCAATGACTGAAAGTATAACGAAACTCTGAGTTGACCTTCGATAAGTATAGAACATTTTTACTTCTAATTTAATTTTATATATATATATATATATATATATATATATATATATATATATATATATATATATATATTATATAATATATATTCTTACAACCAGTCTTTTAAAAGCCGGTAAATCATAATATTCATGGAATAATAATAAGAAAAGGGGATATCGACACACAAAAAGGAAACATTCAGAATTGTAACTCGATATAGAATATATTGTAATTTTAATTTTCAATTAAGCAATCAATGAATTCTTACTTAATTTAATGCAACTATTAATTTTATTATCTTTTTACGAATGACAAATACGGTGAAACATTACATACATTATGAATTCAAAATCTAAAGACCTATAGGCATTTTTCTAAAAGTTCTGCACACGCATATATGTATACATTTGTGTATGTGAGGATTGGTGAGTTTTTCTTTGTGTGTGTGTCTGCGGGTACTAAGTTTTTTCCAGTATATTCTAAATGTGTGCATATTCACACACAAACATATATACATATCAACACATGTATATATTTGTTGTTATTATATATATGTGTGTGTGTGCATATGTGTGTATGTATGTGCAGGTTTATGTGTGTTCAGCTGTTGAGCGATGTATATTCTTACCAATTTCTATATTATTTTTACCACAGAATGAGCACATACAGCATACATATGTGTGTGTGTGTGTGTGTGTTTACTTCATTCACATATAATACTGTTATATGTATACGTTGTACTCACAAATAATTAAAATCCTACATACGAGGTGCTACCAAAACTTAGCTCCAAAACCTAGTTTTCATTGTTTCATCTTGAAGTACTTCTTTGAAAGAGACTGTGGAAACTATGTCTTAGTTTACTGTTCATAAAACTCCATACTACATTCGTTTGACACGAACTGTTCAAATTCCTGAAACTTTTGGTTTTGTACCTCGTATATTCTCAGAGTGGAATTATTTATATGTTTGCGTATATTTAAAATTTATTTGTACTTGTTTATCTACTAAATAATGTGTATGATTATGTGTGTATTTAAACATGCGTGTGTGTATGTATATGAACAATGTATATATATATATATGTATAATGTACGTATATGCATGTATATACATGTATGTATGTATGTATGTACAGTAAAATATTCGTTTTCTGTTCATTGAATCAAGGGACATATATTAGTTTAACCGCCGATTTTTCGTTTTCCGTTTTTCTTTTTCATTCTTCCGATTCACTCTTTATGTAATGCTTAATCTTTCATTATTCGTTCTGCAATAATTTGTTTTTAGATATTTTTTTAAATATTTTTTAATGATTTTAAATTATATACTTTTTGATTAATATACATATATATGTGTTAAAATTATATTGATAATATATATATATCATTTTTGGTATGATTTTGAATGCGCACTGTTCTTTTCGTCTTTTTTGCTTTCCCTTTCTCTCTTTCTCTTTCTCTTTCTCTCTGAATTTTTCTTTTTGTTGTTGTTGTTATTTTATGTTCTTTGTTCCTTGTTTGTGATCTTTTCAAGTATCGTTAAAATTTTCGGAAACCATTAATATGCATACTCTTAACAGTATCCAGTTTTTTGTTCCCATAGATATCTTGGTGGACGTAAGGTGAGGTTTTGGTCCCGTGCAGCATCAGGGTCCACTCGCTGAACACGCCCATGTCCATGCGGCTTGACCAGCCAGAATTGAGACGAACCGTCAGCGTCCAGCGACCGTGCGGATTTTCTGCCCATGTGTGAGTAGTCATAAAGGGCCATCGTTTAAATCCGTTTCTGTTGTCGCTGTCCCTAGGGCGGCGGCTAAGGATCATGGAGCTGAAAGTAGAAAAAAGTTGAAGATTATTACCAACAGAAGATAGGGTGAAGTGTAGCGCATGCTCGAATCTGGTTTCTCGACAAACAATGAAAATATTAATTCATATCAAAACGTTCCTATTCTATCAGAAACTAATAATAAGGAATTTATTAGTTATAGATACCAGACAGAATGATATATAAATTTGTATATATCAAGAATTATTTAGGAAAATCTATGTCAAAGTGGAGAACGTTTTCGTGTGGTGCGTTTCGTCTTTTAGGACTTCATAGGACTGATATTTACGCTGATGCGCACTTAATTAATACAAGACAAAATAATACGCTAAAACTTGAACGAGGAATTTACTCTATCACCTGTAATACAAGTAATGCACAAGAGCAACCTCAAGGAATTTAAATAAAAGACTATATAAATACAAAAAGGATCTTTTACAAAATAAAACACTCAATGCGCACCATTACGAGTCTGACTATAATTTTGATTTAAAAAAGAAAGCAATTTACTAAAAACGAAATTGCATAGAAAGTGCTTTAATCGCTAGATCATCCAGAGTAAATTTGTGTTCTTATAACATTTCCCCAATGTTGATAATTATTCTGTTATCACAATGTGGGATATTTGATAACATAAGACACTGAAACATGAACAAAAAGAAAAAAAAAAACTAAATGAAATCGGCTAGACTATATATCCAAAACATATTAAAAAAAAAATTAAATTAAAATTTCAGCTCCATCTCTACTTCGTGCGGTGGTGTAGTCACATAATGTGAAAATCACTTTAGTATAATGAAGAAACGATTCCCACGAAGATTTTTACCACTTTGTCATAGATATTCCTAAAATATTAAGGCCTATAAAAAAATGAATATAGTGCAGCCTGTAATATATTTAACAGTATGGTTTCATCTCAGAAATTCATTATGCTAAATATTCCTGGGTATGACGATAAACTACATCCGGCAGCAAGGCGTCTGATTTTGAGAAGCATGAAACCATATCTTAATTGCTATTGTTCCCAGGTTCACCCAAAATCGAGTTGGTAGCAACTTTTAGGGACCTAGCTATGAGCAAATAGTGAATCTCCTAAACAAAAACAAAACACTATGAAGGTATAAAAATACATTTTTATAGCAAAATGACCAACAATATATTTTTAAAGCCTAATGACCAGCAATACAGTTTATCGTAGAAATATAAACAATTTATAGCAAAATGACTAACAAAACATTTTATCTGTAGTTGAAGGCAGAGAATTGCATTCAAAATATATTGAATTGAAGCCATAAAATTGTTCAAAATATTTAGATTTCGGTAATAAATAACCCATGGAGATGTTGATATACCGCGGAACGAAATCAACCAACCATCACGAAAGAGCTCTTTCATGACATTAATCCGTATAATATCCTATAATTTCTTAAAGAAATCAAATTGTATTTCAAAATATAACAGTTTCTTGGAAAGGGCGTGTTATCTAGCGTGATCAACAATTTGAACAAGGCCAGCACACTCGACTGTGTTCCGCCTACCCAGATTCACTCACAAATCTTTGGTCAACTCATGGTATGTTTTTCCGGCACTTTCCAAAAGTCTCCAGTTCGAAAAATCGACCATGATGAGATTCGAACCCGGGTGTTATCGTCACAATTCGAACGTTCTGACAATTCGGCGACGAGTCAGTGTAGTATTATATAACAGGAAATATATACGTTTTACAAAGATTTTATGTCCCAGAAATGCATGATTATGTCTAGATCTATCTATCTATCTATCTATCTATCTATGATATATGCCATGAGTAAAAATGAATATTAGGAATAGAGTGTGGGTAAATATAAAAGTGCACACTGAGTATGTGTATTTATCTACATCAAAGTGTGATGTACTTACGTGGTGTTCATCGGGGAAGTCAAAAACATTTCCACGTGACCACGGTAGGATGATTTCAAAGTGATCACTGCTTGTACATGTTCCAGGTAATTGATCTCACTTGATGTACCTTTGCAGGCGTCAGTATCGATTGTCAATTGCAAGTGTTCTCCAGTTCGGAATTCCCTGAAAATCAAAAATTAATAAGTATTATTCATTGCTCTTTAAAAAAAAAAAATACATAGCTCACTCTGTACAAAGCTAGTATTTACATACATATAATCATTTCACCCTATGCAAGCCAGTAAGGCCTCTAACATGCAAGGGGTTACTGAGTGTTAAAGAATAAGAAAAAAAGAGAAATATTATTAAGGAGAGAGAACAATAGATGGGTAATCAAGAGGACAGTAGATAACGATTGACAGTAAAGCCATAAAGACACAAGGGGCTACTGAGTGTGAAAGAATAAGAAAAAAGTGAAATATTATTAAATAGCGAGAACAATAGAAGAGTAATCAAGAGGAGAGTAGATAACGATTGACAGTAAAGCCATGAAGACACAAGAGGCTACTGAGTGTGAAAGAATAAGAAAATAGTGAAATATTATTAAGGAGCGAGAACAATAGATGAGACCTTGTTGCCAATCTAGTACTGCGCTTAAATTCATAAAGTCTAGTTACCATAGTGAAAAGTCCGTTACTCTGAAAGTATGTCACTTTAATATAAATCTCTATCTATAAAAGGCAGGATGTGCATGTGTGTGTGTGTGTGTGTGTGTGTGTGTGTGTGTGTGTGTGTGTGTGTAACGAATGCACGGCCGCAATTTTCGACGGATTTGCACCAAAATTTACATGCACATGCTCCAAGTTGGCGGGAATTATTATTATTTGGAAAGAATCAGAAAACGAAGAGAACCAAAACTATTTACAATCAAACATAAAAATTAAAACTATTCAAACAATTTAGAAAATGCTTAATAGAAACAAAGTAAACAAAGAGGTAACAGATTTGAAAGTAATTTCATGCATGTACTGTTTCTGGTTCCAATGTGGGAAATCCAATATTGACAATTTACTGAATAAATAAACGGCAAGAAAGAAAAAGTGAAAAGGGCCATCTTAATGAAAATAAAGAGAAGATTCCAAAGCAGAATTTGGAGATGTATAATCTCTATCTATAAAAGGCAGTATGTGTGTGTAACGATTGCACGGCCGCAATTTTCGACGGATTTGCACCAAAATTTACATGCACATGCCCCAAGTTAGCGGGAAGGCCAAAACCGACTTTGCATTACCCAACTCCCATCGATAGTGGAAATAATCGATTTTTCATGCTTCTACGGCAGTTTTCATGTAGTTTGCGGACATTTTCTACTGGCCAGAGTGAGAACCTTTAGCTGGCTGCCACGAATAGGCAGGAAGATTCTGTTGGCCAGCGTGAGAGCCAACAGATGACTGACACGAATGTTAACTAGCATGCTAGCATGCAAAAAAGAAATCGATAGCTGCATTCATCACAAGTGGGAAAAATTTAAATCTGCATGGCACTTTACTCCAATTGGCTCATTCGCTTGCTTAAACTCAACGTTGATTCTGATTCCGCAGAACTGGGTTGGGTGTGAAAAAGTATTTGTTGTTAACATTCTTTTTTCATTCGGTTTTTCCAGTTACGAGTCCTTTTTTAAAGCTGATCGTTTTGTGTTCATTTTGTTTAGTTCTTTTTTCGTAACAGATTTAATGTTTAGTATGGAGCTTAGAAAATATTTGCAGTGTGAGATAGACAAGCAGTAAGGCATGTAGCAACATTAGCACTGCAAAGGGCACTCCTTTAAAGGCAAGGAAGGGCAAAAATATTTTAAGTCAAGTGATAGCGATTGCTGTATGAGTCGTACGATTTTTGAATCAAGCACGGGCAACGCCGGGTCATGCTGCTAGTTTGTTATAATTCTTGCTAATTTCAACAAAATTGTATAACAAATACGGTTGCAATTAAAAGTTCTTTCTTTAAGTTAATTTTTAAAGTCAGATTTCACACGTTATATAATGTCTAAAAAAAAGGGAAAAAATTTGCTTTCTTTTGTTTCCGCTCCCCTAACCATTTCAAAATCGCCACTCCCCTGGAGATATTTCGAAAGCCAACAGCTCATATAATTTCTGATTTTTAAAAGGAGTAAGTACTGCATATATATATATATTTTTTTTTTTTATCGATGTTCTCCCTATGCAAGAGCCAAGACCCATTCAATGTAAACAGTTACTGGAAGGAGTTGTTATGTGATAGGTAAGATTAAGAGCTAAGTTGAGTTTATGAGGATATGTAAGAAAGATAACGGCTAGATCTACATTTGAAGAGATTAAGACTGTAGTGCTTGGGAAAGCATCCTCTCGTGAGTCTGTTTCACAAATAGCGGTTTGTGGGAAGAAGCTGACTGAGTGGAGCTTCATCCTTTCTAATGGATTACGAAAGGCATGAAGATGGTTCGCCCTAATGCTGATGGAATTAAAGTTCGTCAGAACATTTTTCATGGAAATAATGATAGAGTAGTGAGAGGCTTCCTATGTTTCGTCTGTGGAAAATGTGGAAAGGCGTTGTAGTGGGGGAATAATTCAGCACCCAAAAGACCAAGTAGTTTAAACTTCAAGATTGGATAATGAAAAACGTACAGCTCCATCCCAGATATAGCAGCAGTATTTCATTTTCCGTAGGATATAGCTCTTGTAAAGGTAGAACTTAATGGGAGACTGGCACTTACTGGAGTGATACAACATACCGCTCTTCCAGGATCTTTAACGATGGATCATACATATAAATTTCACGAGGTCTGGGACGACCTTGAGTTCCAATAGGTGTTCAAAGCAAGGTACTTTCTTGAGAGAACACACATTCATCGCGATAGATGAAAATTCGGGGTCTGCTCGGTGATGATGGACTGTAACTAGTTTGGTTTTTAAGGTACTGAATGTTTAAGGCCAGTCTTTCTTCAGTTGAGCTGTTAGAGCTAGATCAGAGAGGTGATCGGCTGCCAGTTTCCGATCACCGAAAGATCTGCACACATATAGTGTTGTATCATTTGCACATATATTCACTAAAAATCGGAGTGTCGTATCCTGTTGACACTCCAACGTTTTAGAAAAAGCAGCCGGGAGAAGAATATTAACCTCCCAGGACGAGCGATAGTTATAAAACCGATGCAGGATATAAAAAGGCCTCAAATCTCGAAAAGTAACATTCCGCCATAAGCAACAACAGTTACAGTACAATTCTCTACGGCTCAAAACTTTCCTTTTCAATGCAACAATTCTCTACGGCTCAAAACTGTCCTTTTCAGGGCAACAATTCTCTATGCCTCAAAACTGTCATTTTCAGAGCAACAATTCTCTACGTCTACAAAACTGTCTTTTTCACGGCAACAATTCTCTACGGCTCAAAACTGTCCTTTTCAAAGCCACAATTTTCTACGGCTACAAAACTGTCCTTTTCAGTGCAACAATTCTCCTCGGCTCAAAACTCTCCTTTTCAGGGCAACAATACTTCATGGCTCAAAACTGTCCTTTTCATTGCAACAATTCTCTACGGCTCAAAACTGACCTTTTCAGGGTAACAATTCTCTACGGCTATAAAACTGTTTTTTTCAGTACAACAATTCTGTACGGCTCAAAACTCTCCTTTTCAGGGTAACACTACTTTACGGCTCAAAACTGTTCTTTTCAGGGCAACAATTCTCTACGGCTATAAAACTGTCTTTTTCAGTGCAACAATTCTGTACGGCTCAAAACTCTTCTTTTCAGGGAAACAATACGTTACCGCTCAAAACTGTCCTTTTCAGGGCAACAATTCTCAGCGACTAGACCACCGTTCTTCTTAGGACAACACACTTTTCATCTTCTACATGAACATGCAAAGATATTTTTTACTAGTGCACTATAACCTTATTCTTGTTGATGTATTTTCTCCCCACAAAAATAACTTGGCAATAATTTTCTTTAGTCAATATACCATCCGCAAGAAATGACCTTGTGCTCAATATACCAGCAAAATTAATACAATACAGAAAGAGGGTAGGACCAAAAACGATTCTTGGGGGACACTTGCATTGATCTCACGGACCTCGGAAGAGTGACCATTAACAGTGACCTTCATGAATCTACATAGGATTAGATAATCTCTTCCAGAAATTTCATAGTTGGAGAGTTTGTGTAGCAATCTTCTATGCCAGACCTTATCTAAGACCTTCGATATATCTAAGGCATTCAGATTTTTGTCAGTGTTGAGATGATCAACAACCTTCATGTTGATGATCGCCTCAAAGTGTTTGTTGATGAGACAAAAAGAAGCTAATGGACCCATATTGCTACTGAGGTGAGCGCACGCCCAGATTTTTTTAAAACAGGGTATACACACTAATTGTAATAGTAATTCGAACTGCTTCATTAAAAGGAAAGATACCGCATTCATTGATCAAACAGACACTACTTTGGGGCGTTGAAATTTACAGAATCTTTCTCTTGAAACAGTTTTACAGGAATATAGGATTTTCCAGTCTATTAGCTGTTATCGCTCTTTACCGTATTGATGGGGTTGCATTCCCAACCTTTTGTTTGAAGTGGTGTGGAATGTCAACATCTCCATTATGTCATTATTTCTTCGAATTATATGTGCTATCCATTTTAGTTGTTGCTGTTGTTGGAAGTCATCAAGTGATGTGGTTTCGGTTATTTAGTACCGTGCTTTTTTTTTTGTGATTCTGTAGCACTAGTCCATAAGGTACAAAGAAGGATAGTCCTCTTCAACCGACAAGATTCATTCACTCAAAGCCATTTTAGCCATTCATCTTAAAATGTGGTTGTATACAGCTAAAAGTTTTATTATTTCTGAATGGGTTTGGTGCCATGAACGACATTCGATGTGACGAAGCTATTTAAGAACATGACTCGAGTTTTTAGGTTAATGTGTTTGTCTTATAGCGATTTTGGTCGAAACCATCTCTGGCACAGGCTATTCTATATTCAATTTTCTTTTCCCATGTACTAAGTTTGTGATAAATTTATTCAGATATCGATGTATTTGAAGTGTCTAGCATTTACTAATTTCACATTCCGAGGAAGCGGTAATCTCACCCTGAAGTTGAAAAATGCTAAAATAGAGACTTCTTCGCATATGTGCTATATCCATTCAAAACGTGGTCG